TTGCTCAGAGAGGTCTGTGGCCTCTCTGTCCTTGGAGATATTCAAAACCCAGCTGGACACAGTCGTGGGCAACTTGCTCTAGCTGACCCTGTTTGAGCAGGATATTTGGACTAGATGATCTCAACAGGTCCCTTCCAACCTCAGCCATTCTGTGATTCTATGGTAATGATGATTTTGTGTGTTAATCTTTCCCTAATAATTTCTAGCAAGAGTGGTGGGAAGGGAGCATATCTTTTATTAGATGAGCTATTACAGTTGGAATAAAGAATAAGTTTTGGGCAGGCAGATTGTTTTGTGTGAAAATGGGTTGCGCTGCTTGGTTCTTTAAGCCCGAAACAGTGTAACTCCTGTTTAGGAAGAAATCTAACCTTTTGTAAATCTGTGTCATCTCTGGAAATGATAGGATGCTGTAGGTGAATATATAAAATGATCAGAGAAGACAAAAAAGAATAAGCTTGGTGTTCTGTGAGGAAGAGGTTTAAAGCTTCCAATGCTATGGGGAAAGCCTCAGATTTCCATAATGCACTATTCCTGAGTGGGGTTTTTTTGTGGTACAGTGTAGTATAGGTACCATAAGACCTGCAGTGAGTGTCTTCCCTGTAACTTGTGCTTTGTGTTCAGCTGACTGGACCATTTCTTGTCTGGATATATGCAGTGCTGACACAAGTAGATTGCTGTGTACACACTCTGTAGTGTCATCCATCTTTAGGTGGAAGAATATGTTATTTGAATTGCTTTAAAACTGAAGATATCTGTCCTGAAATTACCTTTGTCTTCTACTGGGAGCCTGTATATAAACAGAACATACAATCATGGAATATCCTGAGTTGGAAGGGACTCTCAAGGGTCATTGAGTCCAACTCCTGACTCCACACAGGGCAACTGAAAAGTTAAACCGGGTATCTAAGAGCATTATCCAAACACTTTTTGAACACTGAAAGGCTTGGGGCCATGACCACTTCCCTGAGAAGCTTCTTCCAGTGCTTGACCACCCTCTCATTGAAAAACTTTTTTTTACTACTACCCAATCTGAACTTCCCTTGACACAGCTTTAAGCCATTCCCTCACGTCCTATCAGTGGCCACCAGGGAGAAGAGGTCAGTAGCTCCCTCTCCACCTCAGCAGGAAGGTGTAGGCAGCAATAAGGTCACCCCTCAGTCTCCTCTTCTCCAAGCTGAACAAAGCTAGTATCCTCAGCTGCTCCTTGTAAGTCATGTCCTCTAGTCCTTTCACCATCTTTGTTGCCCTCCTTTGGACACATTCTGATATTTTTATATCTTTCTTGTATTGCGGAGCCCAAAACTGCACACAGTACTCAAGGTGACGCTATATGTGGTTGAATTTATGAGTATCTCAATAAGAAGTGGTCAATTAAAAACTATGGTTGTCCAGTCAGAAAGACTGGTATGAATCAGTGTTGATTGTTTAGTTCCAGTTTTGTATTGATCTGAAGCTTCAGAAGGAAAATCAGGGTTCTTCCTATCTAGGAGATAGAGCTGAATTCATTTAGAATGAAGACCTCTGACACCTAAGGGGCTACCCTGTGGACTCTTGTATCCATTATATTTTTTTTTTTCTGGCTGGACTTCTTCAATATATTTTTTTTCTTTCTTATATTTATTCTTAATTAGCAACTTCATACAGTCTCTGCCTAATTAAAGTACATTGTTTAATGGCTCTTCAAAATTGAATTGAATTTAGCTTGCTGCAGCTGTGCTAAGAAATACCACTTAGGCATGATGTCTTTAAGTGGCACCTTCAAATGTCATTGTTGAAGTCTTCATAAAAAAAGTACCCAAGTTATTAAGTTTGATGGCTGTACTGGTCCCCAAAATAAGCTCTGCTTTTGAAGCAGAGCTTGTACTTATTAAAATGAGACGTGTACTTACTAATTTGCTTCATATTTTTAAGTGTCCTTATCAAATTATTTTTCTGAAGGATAGTTCACACAGACTACCTAACTTTGCCAGGGCATTCTGGCTCTGTCCACAGTTAATGCTGAAGCGGTGTAATGTTATGGCAGAACAGGCATGAAACCATATGACTTTCATATGCTTTGTTTTAATTCACATTCAGGCTCTTAGGGATATACATCTGCAATGTAGAGGTTGTTTCTAAAGGTACTGGGATTTTCTTTTTTTATTTTATAGAAGCACAGGCTGGAATCTAGCTTTGGAGGTTCCCTTTTTCTTGGGATTTTTGTGTTATGTACGTGTAAATGTGTCAGGAAACTTGAGCCAGTGTTAGCTACTGATTATTACACTTGTATATGTATTTTGCTGTTTCTTGTCTTGGCAGACAGATATCAGTTTTAGTAGAATTTTCCACTTTGGAATTTATTTATAATGTAAAAGCTGACAGTAAGAATAGGAATCCTATTCATGGGTGATATAAAAAGTCCTAATGAATTATTCATTTTGGAGGTGCTTTTAAATATCTGAATCCTGGTTTCCCATCTGTTTCTTCAAACTTAATAGATAATTTGGAAAGTGCTTTCAAAAATATCACTTCCACAGCTACATTTCAAGTCCTGGTTATGCTTCTTGGAGGCCATGCTCAAAAGTAGATTTGACTGTATTTTAGAAAACCAGCATTTTAAAGCCATGTCCAGCATGTTTTTTATGTCAGTATAAGATAGTATGTTTTACTGATCTACAAAACATACTTGCTCAATCTTATTTACTGCATTCATCTGAAAGCCCTCTGCAGCAATTTGTTTATAATTCATGCATAGATTTCACATACCACATCTCATAACCGAAGAAACAATGGTCTTTAATAATAGAATATACTTTTTAGAAGCAAGCTGTGTGATCTTTTTGAAAAACATGTTTTTATTAAACGTTAAAAAGCCGTTTGATTTGCCTTGTTATATCTATCCATTGGACTTTAAATTTTAAGGCATACAAAAGAAATCTTAAACCAACTAATAAAGTGGGTTGTTTCAAATAAAGTTTGTATGTAATTATAGGATTGCATCCTGTCTTCAAACCAAAATATGTGAAACTATTTTAAGTAATCTATACTGAATGACTGCTGTTTACATTATAATGTAAAAGGACTACAATTTATGTTTGTAGTCTTCTTTATTAGTGATAGAAAAGAAACTGGCAAAACACTGGAAAAACTGAAAGTAAATGTAGTTGTAGAAAGTAAAAAGGAGAACTTTTATATTTTGAGTTCTTTACACAGGATACATGTGCTAAGATGAGAAAAACAGAATGTTTCCAGGGAAGCTGCCTGCAGTCCAGATTCTTTCAGATGTATAAGCCTAATCTTTTGTACCTGCTAGGGTCTGCAGTCCTAATTATAGAATAGTATAGTTCAGCTGGAAGGGACTTACAGTGATCAAGACCAACTGCCTGACCACTTCAGGGCTGACCAAAAGTTAAAGCATGTTATTAAGAGCATTGTCCAAATGCCTCTTAGACACTGACAGGCTTGGGACACCACCTCTCCAGGAAGCCTGTTTCAAGGTTTGACCACCCTCTCAGTAAAGAAATGCTTCATAATGTCAAGTCTGAACCTCCCCTGACAGATGCAGCTTTGAGGCATTCTCATGTGTCCTGGCACTGGGTACCAGGGAGAAGAGATCAGTGCCTCCCTCTCCACTTCCCCTCCTCTTGAGTTAAGACTGATTCTTAACTCAATCCCTAGTTGTTTTCTAAGACCTCTGTCTGGTGTTCTGATTCTGTTGTCTCAAAATCAGGTTAGTATTACAGCATAAAAAAAAACCCCACGACTTTGTATTTGCCATTTGTATCTAGTGTAATAATAATATATAAAATTATATAGCATAGCATATAATAATATTAATATATCTTAATAGAGTACTAGAAATAATATATAACCATATATATATATGTTGTCTTTGCAAAGACAAAATTATTTCAGCTGAGTCTCTCTTAAAAAACAAGTATGAATTAGGTTATGTGGTTAAGAACATCCTTAAATGTAATTTTAAATTCCTAACTTTTAGTAGGCTTAAAGCTTCACTTCCACAAAGTTGTATGTTATATTTTTTCTTTGCCAGCAAATCCCTCATAGTAGTTATGACCATTCCTAGAGTTTAAAAAAAAAAAAAAAAAAAAAAATCTTTCATTTGAAAGTAAATGAAATTCACTGGAAAAAATATGTTAATGCTTCAAAGTGTTCTGGTTTATTCTTCCCTTCAAAATGTTAATTTCCACAATCTGTATTGAAGAGTTAAAATAATAGTAGTTGAGAGACCCAGATAGCATTAGCCTTTTGGAGAGTCTCTTATGTTCATAGCCCAAGTGCTTGATTCTTTCTTTCAGTTGTCCTGAACCAGGAATAAACTGCACCTGCCCTTCCATCAGAGGTAACCGACCTAACCTGTAAAATGGGCATTACCTCTATGAGATTTTAGAAACCTCTTCTCTTTTTTTACACTTCTGTGTAAGACTTAACCAGTCTGCCACAGCCCATTAAACTGTCCCTGATATTCACCTGATAATTCCTGTTGCAGGCAGGCCCCGCTGGCATGATGTGATACAAAATTGAGCAACATAGGATTTCTAACATGTGCCTCTTTCTTTTGTCTAGAGACACAGAAATGACAGGACACCTCTCAAGTAGAAGCATGGTTCACGTTGATGGCCTCATAACAGAAAAATAATTTTGCAAAGCTGCCCTGGGTAGTCCCTCTACCATTTAATATGTCTGTATGTAGAACAGTGTAATCACAGTTCATGCAAGCATTTACTATTGCTACTCTTTGGCTGATGGATTTTAATTTATATTCAAAGTTCTGTGTAATATTAAAATATCAGATGTAGACATTGTATTTAAAGGACCCCTTTTTCTTCAGGTTCGTGTGTGTATGTAAACATGCTTAGGAAAAACTTCAGCACATGTTAAACACCGATTATCACACTTGCATGTCTTGTATACTTATAATGCTGCTTCAAATGTTTTTCTTCCCCTTACGTTTTTATATTCTTATCTTAACTCTGGGTCATCACAGTCTTTCTCTAAGGATGACAAGAGAAGGTAGCTTCCACAAAGCACTGTATGATTCAACTCTAGTTTCTGGAAACTTGACAGTTGTTCTGTCAAGTGTGGGATTGATTGAACTTCTGGGCCTTTGCATGTATGGTAATTTTGCTGAAAAGAAACGTTTACTGTTTAATAGTCTTATACGTGTGTTTTTATTTTTTTTCACTTTTTAGGTGCATTGAATTTCAATACTGATGCTGCCGATTCCATTCCAGGAGAAAGACAACCTACAGATATAAACTGGGTAAATAAAGATAGGAAAGACTCCAACAGTAATCAGAATAGAAGAATACCATTTCCTAGTCTGTCTTCTGAAAGAGGTACGGATTATGAAAGCTCTTCCACAAAGCATCATGGCTTTTGTAATCCAGAAAGTCAGTATGGGAATTCTGAAGACTTCCACCAATATTTTGGTACCAGTAAAAGTTTGAAGAATCGCAACTTGCAAAGCCAGAGGTGGCACAGATCAAGAAACGATAGCACGTGTACTAGAAGTAAAATAAGGCAAGGTACTGCTGATGCTGCTGCAGGTCCAGGGATTTCAGATGCTGCAATAGTACCTGGGAGAAGAGCACCTCCTAGAGGGTACAATGACTTTCTCTCCTCAGAGAGTGACAGGGAGGTACCTAATGCAGATAGTAGAGGAGCAAAGCCAAAGAAAACACATCTGATGCATGCATCTGGAAGAGGTTTCAGGGAGAAGGGAAAGCAAGTACCTGATCGGGAAAAGAGAGTGAGCTCTAAACAGAAAGTAGAGCTGTTTGAAAATGTTCCATCTTTGGATTTGACTCAGTCTGACTCATCGGAATCATCTGTTGGAAAGGCATTCTGTGATGCACCTGTTGGTAGTGGGGATGAGCAGAAAGGCTACAATTATGTAAACAAAAGATATCCCCGGAAGCCTGTGTGGAATAAACCCCCAGTAGAAAAGGAGTGTCAGAAAAGACATGATTCTCACCGTAGTAAAAATACAAAAGTAGGTAAGAAGTCTTCTCTTGCATATACTCCGAAAGATAAAAATGAAAGGAAGAAAGAACTCTCTGTTCACAAAAATGATGAAAACTTGACCAGTGAAATCAGGCATCCATTGTCTGATTCTGTCAGATGTAATGGAAGAAAGTTCCTGCTAAAGGGGGATCAGGCACCTGCACTTCATTTCAGCTGGACCCAGTACTGGAAAAAGCAAAGTGATGTACCAAAAAACAAAGAAACTCATACAGGTAAGCTTTGTAGACTGTCCTGTACTCCTCTGTTAAAGATATGATCTTGAATAATTTAAACTGCCTTCACATTTGACTAGCTGAAGAGGCTTATTATTTCACGTTAGATCAGTATCAGTTTCAGAGGGTAGAATTAAATGTAAATGTGTGGTTTCTGGGTGGGGAGGTGTTCTGTATGTTTACTAGGGTAGAACAGATTTTGTTTAAAGGTTTTTTTTTTGTTTTAGTACCAAACTGCAAATGACAGCCTGGTCAGGCACCATGTTAAAACATGTATGCTGTGGGAGTAGGGAGTAAAATTCTGAACAATGGGACTTGAGAGGAACAATCCTAAAACTGATTTATGCAGAATAAGTTTTCTCATGTTTTATGTAGAAGTAGGAAAATGCCAGATAGAGTAACTGTATTCTGCTCCTAACTGGATTTTTTGTTCTTTTTTTGCAATGGTAGTCTCAAAAGGTAATTAGAAATATAGAAAGTCTCTGGATACTATTTTCGGAAGTTGAGAATAGAAACATGTGACATTGACAGTGTAAAGCAGACCCACAGGTTTTGACTGTCTGAGTGAATTTTGTGCCAACTCATACCATTAGGGACTTAAAACATTAAATGGAAATCAGCTGAATCTCTTCAATGCCACGGTGCTGTTTTCTGTTTCTAGACGACCTAGGTAGCTTTTTCTTACTGTTTTAGATAAGCTTAAGCGTGCACCAAGAAAATAGTCTCATGTTATTCATAGCATCCAGCAGAAGTCCTATTTTCTTTCAGAGACAATAAGGGGAGAAACTTTCCTTTTTTTTTTTTTTTTTTTTTAATTTGGTCCCTTTCCAGTTGTACAAACATTATACTGTTTGGGAAAAAAAATAAGAATTATATTTAGTTGGTTTCTACAGAGCATCTCAACCTGTTTTCCTTCTGCCCAGAATGATAGAAACGGGTAGATTAGTTCCTGTTATCTTAACAGTGGTATTGAATCTTTTGAAGATTTTGCTTCTCAGTGTCTCTTCTCTTTCAGAGCTGAGAAGGTAGTAGCATAATCGGGAAGCATGAGATAGCTCCAGTCAGAAACTTTGTTCCCTTAGGAGAAGCTCAAGGATCAAGATCCCCCTTGATCCTTTCTAACTTAAATACATTAACTTTCATGCTCCTGGGTTCTACTTGGATCATAAAATTAAAGATACCTCACTCTTTCTCCCAGCATTATTTTATTAAATGAAAAACATCATATGCAATAAGCAGGAAGAGAAGTAGTAATCTTTTACAGGGAACTTAAGGAACTTCCCCCTCCAAAATGGCAGTCTTTCTTTGCATGCTTTAGTTGGGAGCTATTTTGGAAACATCTGCCACTATTTTCAGGGGACTGAGTCTGTGCTTTTTAACTATTTATGGGACAGCTATCCTTTCTGAGTATGGTATAGCTTTAGTCTTCTGGAGAAAAGAAGTATGTTTTAGTTGGGAATGCTTTCTTTGCAGCAGGTAGTATTCATGGGGTACCGAAAGCAGAAATGACTGTTAATTCTAAATCTTGTGGTGCTTGATGCAGGAGGGCTGGAAAAGAAGCTTGAAAGTGCTTATATCCTATTAAGGAGGACAAACAGTGTTAACACTTCCAAGTTTCCAGGCATTTGTGAGCTTGCTTTCAGTCATGTGTGGTACAAGCACATTTTTAATTGATAGTCATTTTTCTTTTGTTATTTTCATATTTTTGTCCTTCATTATGAGTTCTAACTTCCCTTGTATTGGCACCATGTAAAAATGGTACATTTTTACACTTTACACTTGTAATTAAGATACTTTAAAATTCTGTGGGCATACATAAAATAGCATTTCTAAGGTGTATTTGGTAGCCTTACCTTGATGGGAGAGTTAATCTGGCAGAACTGAAGTTATGTGGTGCCTTTGTATGATTGCACATCTAACTACATTTTCAGGCTGTTTTGTCTTCCATGTGGAGTTGCTTTATTTTCAAAGTACTTTTTCATGTTCTTTCATATGGCTCAAAAGGCCCTGTATTTTGACTATTGTTTCCCAGTAATTCTACTCCTAAAGCAGCCAGTTTGACAGGCTTATTTCCGTAATTCAGGTACTTCACTGTTAATATTTGTAGTGTGGTCTTCCAGGAATACTCGAGGATGGGAATTAAATTTAATTTTGGCTGAAACTTCTGTAGTTAAGAGCTTTAAGTTTCTTGGTTTAAACTTTATGTGAAGATGAATTTCCCATATAAAGTGATGAGTAAAATCTCAAACTTCTGCCAAGCTTAAAACTATTAACTAATTTGTAAGATCAGAATGATTGCTATTCATCAACAGGAATTATTGTTGCCACTTTTATGGGACTCTCATACTCCCTCTTCCTGCTCTGAAACTAGAGAAATGCATACCAAGCATCAAACTGGAATCTTCCCAGTGTAAACTAATACCTTACTTACAGCCACACAGGAGAAATAAGTTCTGTTACAATTTAAATGACATCTTGGAATTTCATTTGAATTTTGTTTCTCAGCTAGCTGGTGTTTCATGCACAAGTAATATATTTTATTTGCAGGGTCGTTGATTGAACAGCTGACCACAGAGAAGTATGAGTGCATGGTATGCTGTGAGGTGGTCCGAATAGTAGCCCCAGTGTGGAGCTGTCAGAATTGTTACCATGTATTCCACCTGAATTGCATTAAGAAGTGGGCACGATCACCAGCTTCACAAGCTGAAGGTTGGTATTCTCTCTTGCACACGCTTTCTCTCTCAAATATATATATAATAGCAAAGTTCATGTGTTCTTATGTTGGAAAACTACTTATAAATATTGTCTAAGGTAACCAGTAAGCTGTAAACAAAGCAAGTTTTAAATAAAAAAATGGGTTTTTTTAGGGTTCTTTGGATGCTTTGTATAATCCTCCTAACTGTTTTGATTCTTCCTAATATTCTAGCTAAAACTAATTTCCAGGTTTGGATACATAAGTATAGGATCACTCAATGAAATCAGTGTGTCAAGATTCAAAGCCCTGTGGCTGTGTTTTTACACACCAAGAAACGTCTCATATTTTCTCATCTGTGCTTGATTGAGCAGTCAGACAGAAGAAGCACTCCAAGCATTAGTTGTCTGCTTTTACTGAACCACTTCTTAGTTCTGTTCTCGGATAAAGTACTCCTGAAATCCGTCACCAATGCCATGCAGTGAAATGAAATTCAGAGAAGACAGAAAGCTTCTTCCTTTGTCATTAGCTTAAACTGTTTCAGATTCTTGGTATTATACCACTTTTTGAAACTCTTATACCACTACATTCTGCCCTTTGAATGCTTTGGTGTAAGTTAAGGCTGAATTGCAGCCTCTCTGCTGTGTTCAGTTGTGTGATGTATACACACTCTGAAGACTGTAATGTTAATCTCAAAGTAGGGTTAACTTTTTCTGTACCCTGCTTGTTTAGCATTTACCATTCTTCATGTGTCCTTCTGTCTCTCTCTGGGCAGACTGAGGAAATACAGTCTGTCAGCTACTTCCAAATGTTTCAGAGAAGTTCTTACAGACTGTAAATCTCTTGCAGAAAGGATTGGTTGCAAAGTTCTTGGATTTCTGAAGATGCATAGACAGACTTCTGGGTAGGGCTTGTCATGCTTCATACTGACAGTAGAAAGGAAGTTACAAATGTCAGCACAAGATTTGAAACATAAAGGCATTGGAATGTTTGAGAAGGGAACAGTTTTTTGGGTAAGACTGAGATCCTAAGCCAAACTGAGAGTGACTGCTGAGAACCTTTATCTCCTAGCTGTTTTTCTGTCACCTTCTTTGGAGCTGATTTATCTCCCTGAAACAGCTTATTGCTTGATCAAAAGAGTATCCCGTTGTGTAAGGGAGGTTTTGCTTCTCTGTCAAGACAGTGACCTTAGATGCTTGAATCCTGACAGCATTTCAAATAGCCATATCTTTTGGCCATTTGCTTTTCTTGTAAGAATTTGTGGACTAAGTACGTTACTGTATCCTGTTATGAGAGAACTTGAGCTAATCATTAATTGAAATTAAAGGGGGTGGCCTCAGTAGAACTGATTCCATAGCTCCAGTAAGGACACTGATGCATATTTCTTGACCTGCAAGGCCCTGCTGCCCTATCTTGATTAGAACTTGTACTTCAGAGTGTATTTGTTTTATGGTAGGTTGTTTCAGTGTAGATTCTACTTTTCAGGCTTTGTACAATGTTGAGGAATTCACTAGAACCCTGGCAGTAATTATTGTCTACCAGAAGAGAAATAGGACACGGTAATCTACCTAACTCAATAATTCGCTGTTTTTCTTGAAGAAGAAAAAAAAAACTGTTTTTTTCTGGACACAATTTACTTTAGATCTGCTTGATTCTGCAAATGTTATAATCAATTCCAGGAAATCCTATCTAATCTCAGCACCCAAACTTTTCACTGCTACATTTCACTTCCAGCCTAGTGAGAATATTTTGTTCATAAGATCAGTTTTGAATGTTCATTCTTTTATGTTTTTGAAGCAACTGAATGTTTCAGTGAGAATGTCCCTCCATTTGGGGCCTTACAGCAGCTCTTATTTCTATGACACATAGTAGGAGGCTGAAAGTATGTATGTGTACATAATTTCTCACAATTTTTTGTGATCACAGCATTGTATCAGAGAAATCCTGAATACTTGGATGAAGTAGATACCCCACCAAGGATGCTATCTTCTCACATAGCTCCATCTTCCAGATCAATAGTAATAGGTATCTGTTACGAGGGAAAAGCAAGTGCGGATCCCTCAAGGACAAGGCACGACACTCAGCAAGTGAAAGCTTTGGCTTTAATGAAAGCATAGCGTTACCACGGTGGGAGCCCCAGGACACCAACGCTAATCAAATGGGGACCCAATGCAACGGAACCCTGCTCAGGAGTGAAGCTCAAAGGAATACACTGCAGGGATGGATAACAAAACTTGTGCCAGTTAACATATCGTACACATGCAATGTCCAGTTCTGCTCTTTAGTGAACTTGCTGATGTAATGCAGGTGCTATTGTCCGAATTCCGAGATCCGCAGCTGGCTGTCAGGTTGGCACCCATGCAAAGGTGGGTGCAGATGAGGGTGGGAAGTGAATTATCCTGGGTTACCGTGTGAATGAGATAAAACGTGTTTGGGACTCTACATACTCGGGTGGGAAGAAGCAAAGAACTATCCTAGGTTACCATAACAAAGTCTTCTCGCACCCTACAGTATCTCTCTTCTCAGTGACTCTTTCAGATGTTTTTTACTGAAGGTGTCTTCCCTCAGAGACTTCTTTGCCTTCTGTTGTCTTGACAATCATCTGAAAACTGACTTTTATTTTGGCCAAGTCAGGTGAAAGAATCTCCTGATTTTATGTGGGGAATCATAGGGCATTGCTCTATTCTTGCTCTGCTTACATTAGGCTTGTGATTGACATCCAATGTTCAGTATTTCTACAATGTAGACTGTCAGCGGCACTTAGAACTCGAGAATGGATTTTCATTGTGTATTAGAGATGTCCTGATCAAGAGGAGGAGCTCTGCTAGGCATCACTTTGCCATCATGTGGAAAGATTCTTTCCTATAAGGAAGAACATAACTTTCTCCTTAGCAAGCATTTTTACTAACATTTTGAATTATGTTTTGGAGGAATGTGACCTTTAGATATTGCACACCTATTTTGTCAATCTGACAAAAATACCTGCATTGCACACAAGATCTTTTACTTTGTTATGTTTATAAAGGGGAAATTGTTGTCTCTTGCCCCCTTCCTTCTTCTACTTCTTTTAAAAGCTGATGCTTCAATGGTGTTTGTGCCCTTACATTGATGGAACACAAGTTTAAGCTGTTTGCTCCCTTCTTTGCAGGAAGGTGGTTTTACTGGTATTTTCATTTTGGCTGGAAGGATTGGAGATATTTGAGTTATTACAACTGCCTCTTCCTATTCTGCTCCCTCTGCTGCCCCTGCCCTCTACTTATAGATGAGCTAGTGGTCTGTACCAATCCAATATTGGCATCTAAGATGGCTTCTGAGTTTCAGTAGTCAGAATCTACTTGGCTGGAAGGATTGGAGATATTTGAGTTATTACAACTGCCTCTTCCTATTCTGCTCCCTCTGCTGCCCCTGCCCTCTACTTATAGATGAGCTAGTGGTCTGTACAATATCAATATTGGCATCTAAGATGGCTTCTGAGTTTCAGTAGTCTACTTGCCTTTTTTTTTTTCCTTTTTTTTTTTCTTCTTAAGCCATGATGTTAAAGGGCTGAAGCCGTTCTGTGTGCCTTGGATATTACACAAATGTTGTCACTTTTTTGTTACTGGGACAAAAGCTTTTGATTGTGTCTAGCTGAGAAGTCAAAGCAATAATTTATTCTGATACAGATTATCTTATTGGAGAACTGCATAAGACCTTTTAGAAATGGTAATATGAAACTGCCAGTGTTGATTCTAGTATGTTCTACTACAGTTGAAGTGACTGAAATCTTCTGTTTGGAGTTTTTTATGTACCTAGCATTGTATATATGTTGAAAATTGCTGGTGTATTGCTGCCTTTGGAAACGTAGCCTTTTAGCATTCACTCTCTATTCCAGCAGATGTGTTTGGATCCTTTCTTATGTAATCACCTATGACTCATCTAAGCAAGCATGTAAAGACGAAAGTTGCTTGTTTGAAACTACACATAAAGATCCCTAGTCGGTATATATAATTCCCAGCTCTTCTTACTCAAGGTTCTTTTGAGCCCTTTAATCCTTTAGGATTCTGGCAACTGAGGAGATCATTCACTGTGCCTTTATGACAACAGGTATGCAATAGGAAGGGGCAGGGTTCTGGGCATGCTACCGCAGATAAAGATTTTTGTGGCTGAAAGTGCTACAAATAGGGACGTTTGCAATATGAAAGTGTATGGAAAAAATTTTGGTAAATAATTACAAGTAAGGAATCTTTTTATCCCAGAAGGAGGGAGAGGATAGCAACTACTAAAACAATCTCTAGTAAACAGGAGTGAGGTGTGTTGATTTTGCTTGGACAGCTGTCCTTTTGGTGTCTTTGGTTGGAATTCTGCCTACTTCGCTCCTATTCATGAGAAGATTCATGAAAGTGGAATATTCATTCTGTAGGGATTCTGTAGGGTCATCCTCATTCTCACTTTCTTCAGTAATCAGGATTTGTAAGGAGTGGTTACAGGACCACTCCTTACAAATGTGGATGTCAGGAGTCATCCTACTGTCATTCTATCTTACTGTAATTGCATTTGAATCCAGGAAGAAAACTTACTTCTTTTATTTTTGGAGGAAAGCAACCATGCATGTTCCTTGTGGGTGGACCCACATGAATGTAGTTATGTCTTAGAGGAGCGAAGGATAATCAATGATTAAGAACAACAAAATATATCTTGAAAGGCTGTTTTGCTTGGCAAAAGGTTCCTATTTTACAAGGACGTTCACTATACTCCAGAGAAACTGTTGCTTGTAGAGGACTAGGCATCCTGCTCCAGGAGAGATGTTGACAGGAGATGCCTTCTGCTGGCCTTCTGAAGCTTTGATGATAGGTTTACCTTCACAGCTTTTGAAAAACATAACGTGGAATAACAATGAAAGAAATTATGTTGTTAATGTAATAGTTAAGTATACCATACAAAGTAATCCTATAGGGAATCCCTTAGGGTTTAGTATGCTAGCTTTTGGGAGGAGCCACGTAAGGTGCTGACAGCTTTGTCAGCAGATACCCCTTTCAGTCCCCTGCTGCCAGTTTTTACCTGTAGCTTTTAACACTTTTCTCTGAGATGCTGCTTTCTGAGATGCTTCAGTTTGCAGCAGTCAAATAAAAAAAAAAAAAAAATCTTGGTCAGGAAATGCAGGTTGGTCTTGAGCATGAATATGAAAGTATACTCCTTGTGCTGCTGTCCTACAGCTGCTCAGCTCATAATTATACAGCTTTCTGCAGCAGTCTTGGTGGCACAGTGATATGAGCCAGGATAATGAGGGGTATGAATAGGCACCAAGTATTGAAAAGAATAGACATGCTTTAGATTTGCATTTCAAGAGTGTCAAGGCAGTCTATAACCTGGATCAATTCGAGTTTGTGAAAATCATTACCGTTGTGCATTATGATAGTTAACGTTAAGAAGTCTCCAATCCAATTGATAGTGAACCTAGGTGTGCCTGTCACTGCAGTGCAGTTGTCTGTCACACATACGGTTTCCTGTTTGCAATCCCTCCTGCATTCATAACATGAAATTATCATAAATCTTGGTTGGATTTCTTAATCGTGAAGAACAGTTCTAAAATAACAGCTTTATTAATTTACCGGTACTGAATTGATTGGTTAAGAGAGACAGGAAGAGCTAATCAGTTTATATTTACATATTTTTACTTTTTTATATGTATTAAAAGAAGTGTATCTCTCTCTCCTCCCTGCCCCCTTTGTGTTCAATAGTGCTCTCTCGCTGGTATTCTTCATAGCTAGATATGTACTGAATTTGGGAAACATCTTCATGAATGTCGCTTTCCTTACACTGAAGTTCTTCCTTTACTGCTAACCAACACCCTCCTGAAATGCAGAAGCAAGAAAACTACTATTTAATAAAATACCAACTTGAAGAATAGTGTCCTAGTCAATAGCTAGGTATTGTCACCTTTAAATTAAAGTAGATTATTCTGGTTTACATAGCACTAATTTATTCTGGACATGAAGCAATACTAAATTGGTCTTCTACAAGACATGTAAAGTCATAACATCAGAGGATAATGAAAAGGAAAATACAGGTGGTGCTTAAGACTGTAGATAATTATATTTTCCTCACCAATTTCCAACACTAGCACTTTTTTCCTCACATCTTTAGATATGGTGAAGACTGTCTATATTCTGGTAGAATGTCTTATAACAGGGTACATGGTAATAGAAAAAGTGCAATTTTAAAATTTGTTCTTGCCTCTATATAAAGTGGGAGCCTGGTCAGGTGAAGTACCACTGCTGTGTTTATCTTGATACTGTATAAAATGCATTTTTATTAACCTGTTTTCTCACCACTTCTGAGTAAATGGAAAAACATAGTTTGGTTGCAGCTGTGCTAAGAAACAAGGCAAGAGCACTTATTCTGGGTTTGCAAATTAGCTCCTTTATTTACTTCCAAGTCATTTTTATCTTTTAATTTTTTTTATCTACAGATGGTAATAGTGGTTGGAGATGTCCAGCTTGTCAGAATGCTTCTACACAAGTTCCTAAAACTTACACTTGTTTCTGTGGTGAGTTTCTTGCTTGCTTTTGCAAAGAAAAACAATTTTGTAATTTTGATTCTTTTTTTTTTAATTTGAATTCCAATATTGCTGCTTGTTTGCCTACATCCCTGAAATTTAACCTTGTTTAAAACTTTATTGACACTGGAAGGTGGCTGCGCAGAGAATCACACATACATTGCTTAAAACATTTTAAAAATGAAATATTAAATTGTATTTGATAAATATTTTCATATCACTGTGTAAAAATAGTCGTTTTTATAGAATAATGATAGAATTGGGCTGCTATCCTGCAAGCTTTCCTTCTGTAGAAGGAAACCTGCGTATGTTATGTCTGTCTTTGTGGCAAGATACACCAAAATAATACACAATTGAAGCATACAACTATTTAAACCTTTTAAATTGATTTAGCAATTTTGTCATTTACGTTGATCGGGGGCACATACAGGTTAAATAGGAAATAATATTCAGACTTTTCAGACCTTTATGTAGATACATGCTTAATAAAAGAGGTAAATGAAGTGAGTACAACATTCATTAAGCCAGAAGTATATGACAAAAAGGGAGAAATTAATTATGTTACTTAATTGCATACATGCAAATAAATTTTGTTTGGGATTTACACTTCTGAAATTTGTGTTGATTTCACAAAGCTTTCCCTTCCTTAAGTCAGAGTCACTAGAAAGTTTCACCTCGCTTTCTACAAAACAGAATATTCTGGAATTGAGACAGGAACTGGGAGTCAGTGCCTTTCTTGCCCTAAAGACACTAGACTTATGCTGTAGTAGGTAACAATTTTGTCTAAAGTTCTCTTTATCTAAATGTGTCAGTGAGTCAGTTAAGAACAGTGCAATGCAGGAAAGCCAGAGTTTTTGTATGACAATGTGTGAAATCTTACGAGTATAGGGATAATAATTCAGTTAGAATGAATGTTTTGATTCCAAATGAAAATTACACTTTTAAGACAGGTCGTCCATCTGTTTAAATAGGAAAGAAATTCTGCCTAGGCTTAAAGGCTGTTTCATAGTTTTGTGGGAGATCTACAGTAGGAACCTCAAGTTGTCCACAGGGTTAATATTAGCAGAGCACTGTGTTGGAACATAAGACTTTAATCTTCTGTAGATAATTTTACATTAACAATACGGCATTTGGACGTCACCAGTTGCTTATGCAAAGCTATCTTTTATTTGATGCAAGATACTAACTATGTGTTGAGTGTGGTTAAGTGGTTTTTTCACCATTCCATGAGGAAATTCCTAGCTTATTTCTCTTCTGAATCTTCTAATTTTCAGGATTTTCCTGGGTATTCAACTAGTTTAATTGAAACTCGGGTGAATGTATGCCATCTGTGGTGTTTATTCATACTTTCTTAACTTGCTACTTGTAGCATATAGAAAGGTGTACTAAAAGAGTTAAAATGATGTAACTATGTCACCAAAAATACATTTTCTTCGTGTTTTTAGTTGTTGCAACTCAAATTTGTAAAATTGGCTCAGTTGCTTCATTGTTAATTTAGTTCCTCTCTTGCAGAGAGCCAAATTAGATTTGCTTGTGTTAACCATGGCAATTAACTTTAACCCTGATGATCATCTCATGCACTTAGAGCTATGAGATTTGCTAACGGTATGGCAGATTAATTAAAATATGGTTTCAGTGCTTATCTGAAATACAGAATACTTGAAGCTAATGTACTGGATTTATCACTTCTTGTTCAAGACTTCCTGTGGCATGCATCAAAGTGTCAACCTTTAATGTTTAGATTTATGTAGAGTCTGCTTCTTTCTAGAGAAGTAACTTTTATAATTTGCCCAGTTATTTCATTCTGCCCCTATTCCCCATCACCTTACCAGCTAGATCTTATTTTCTGGGAATTGTGTCTTTTTTTTTTTTTTCTTTGTGTTTTGAGGCAGCAAGGGAGTTTCACCCTTTAATTTTCTTACCTACTATGCCGCCTGACCAACTAAAGGGGGCTTTTAATCTTTTAATTTTCTTGTCTTTTATAAGTTTAAATTAATGTAAAATACCAGCTACCTAAGTGCCTGCTGAGAGCACAGAAGGAAAGAATCTTCTGGAGCTTGATATTCCAGTGGCATGTACTTTTAAAGTATAATATATATCAGAACTGAAAGCTGAGAAAAACATAAAACATCTTGTGTCATTTTGTTTTTCAAAGACGACTACTGCCAGTATTGAAAATACAACTTTTTGGTGTGATATTTTTCCCAAATTCAGTGTTGTATTCAAGGCAATAAATATGTTTTTGTCTTTGTGGTTTAGGTAAGGTGCACAATCCTGAATGGAATAGAAATGAAATCCCACATAGCTGTGGGGAACTTTGTGGAAAGAAGAGACAATGTTTGGACTGTCCACATCTTTGTAACATGTAAGTAAATGTTTATCATATGAATATTGAAATGATCTGGAGAAAATTTCTGTAGATTGTATTTGGATATTTTTTGACTGTAGGATATGCTTAGAGGTGTTTTATAGCTCAACTGAAGCCTGGAAGAAATGGAGGCTATTTGCCTGTGTATGTCTAAAGTGAGTTCATATGAGAGAATGAACAGGAGGTCAGCAACAATAGTCATAGCAACATTTCCATCATACTTTAGGAACTGAACCAGCTGCCTGACTGGGTTTCAAGAACTTTCATTGAAGTAGAGAAATAATAGTGAATAGAAGTAATTTTAAATGTATATCCAGTGGCCCACCAGACGTTTTAGGTGCTGCTTTTCCTGTAATAGTGTTTGTATATCTTAATCTAAGAGCAATGGTACTTGGTTAAACTGAAGGACCGCTTACTTCTATCCTTTGTTTCTTTTTCTTTTCTTTGGCTTGTAAAGTGTTGAGGACAAGAGGGCATTACATATATTTGTCTATTTGTTGAGACCACCAGATGGTTGAACCAGGATCCCTCGTGGAGATCTTAATCGGTATACGTAACTTGGATTGTTTTTGCTAACATTTATTAGTATAATTCAATGAAGAGAGGCAAAGAAAAGCAATTCTATTTTCAGTTTGATACTTTCCTTTATATTTTTTTTACCAGTGTGTTAGTATTATATTGATAAGATTAAGAGCATTAGGCGAGCTTTTTCGATGTATAAAAATGCTTGCTAGTCAGAAAAATAAATTATATGTTGTTCCTAGTGTATCTAGCTTCATTTTCCATGTATGGAAGTTGGTCCATGATGCCTGTTCATAGTTCTGTTTTAAGAAGTTTTTAATAGTCAGAAGCAATTGTTTCTGCTCTTGGTACACAATCAAAACCTTGAGTCATTCCAACAAATAGATTATCATCTTACACTTTTTCCAAGGTTTACTAAAACTCAGAACTTTACTAGAACTTTACTCCAAACTTTTTATTTAATGCGTTCGGTTTCAAACCTATTTCAGCATCTTGTTGAATGAAAGAATATTTCTTTAGTCTTTAATACTTCTTTCCCACATGTGAAAATATTATATTAGATTTCTTTTCAGACTGTCATTTCAGTGCTATAGCTGTTTTCTTAATTCATCATCATACTAGATCCTCTTCGCTGTGGTTTGCAGGGTAAAACTGAAACACAGATCAGCTTTCAGACTACACTTGATGTAGCTGATATCTTGACTTAGCAGAACACTGATTCTCTTGGAGGCCAGCTGCTGGCCTCCATCTCAGAAGAGGCGTGTCCATGGAGGACTTTTTTGCCCAGTCAGAAATAAGTAGACTCCTTAACTACTTTGAGAACTCCGTGACTGCAACTTGCTACCTGACAAACTTTCCTATAGTGCTTGGAAGAAACAGCTGTTCTTTTCCTTTTCTTTCCTGTCCCAGTCTACAGCAGAGGCTCAGTCTCTGGCATTCTCTTCTGGGAAGTCTTCTGAACAGTGGTGGCAATATTGTGCCTATTGCAAGCTACGAATTCATAGTCCCTGGTACTCTGATCTGCGTCAAAAGCTGTGAAAACTGGGACCTTTTAAAGTCCCACTTGTTACCAGTTTAAGTTGTAGCAAATTTAGGTGTTATCATTCAGCTCATTCCGTATGAGTAAAACCATGCTGAGATCATCCAGTCCTGGAGGTAAGGAAACAGCAAGGGTGTAGATCAAGATAATGGGTGGTTTTGGCACTCTCTGACTTGTGGTATTGATCTGGAGAGGAGTGCACTTTCAGCATCAGTGTTACCCAGTTTTGGACATTCCTCAGTATATGTTGGACACTTCTTCCTCCCGTGTGGGAATCTTAGGTATTTATGAGGACATACTGTGCCTCCATCTGCTGTATCAAAAAGCAAGTAGAAACCTGGTTCTCTCTTGCCGTATCAGGAAGTGGTGGAGTTAGAGATGTGGAGCTTTATCATCTGAATGCATCTTTGGCAGTCTGTCTTACCAGCTCCTCCCCACTGGACAACCTCAACTGATCTAGAAGTCTGGATCATGATCTGTATCTGGGCAGAGTTTTTCCTCAAGAGGATACTCAAAGGTGGACTTGTTGCCATCAGGACCAGGAGTCTGTTTCGTGTTCTTGCTTGAGTTTAGATGATCTCAGAACTCTTTCTTGTAAGCGCTTGTTTCTTTGGATTGTGGATCTTTTTCCCCTGGCTCCCACAGGTTCCCATAACGTGATAAGGTTTGAACCAGAAATGCCATTCTGGTCACTGAGATGCTAAAAACTTTTTTGTTTTTCCTTTTCTTTTGTTTTTCCCCTTCTGGGTCAGATGTTTCATGTCATTGTCAAGACCTTCTACCTCACAGTGTGACGGGACGATGAATTCTCTGGAGTGAACTATTCGTGCTCTTCTCAAGTATGTGTGACTTTAGTTAATAGTAGAGATGTGTCCATTGTTACGGGCAGTGGACTGAGTCTTGGTGTGGCGTTCTTGATGTTGCCCTTTCTCCAGTATTTAATCCCATGTATTCTGAGAAACCCTTTGCAGCTGAAGTATGTGGGACTCTCATTTAAAGCCCAGCTCCGTCCATTGTCTTCCAGTTGAGCAGACCTCTGTATCTGCAGTCCGTGAGCCTCTGACAGAGCTAATCTGGGTGAATCCTGTTATGAACTGTATTCATTGGTGGGACTTGAATCTGCGTCTTGGGGAACCTGCTTTTTGAGTCATGGGGTTCTTGCTTAGTTTCTTATCTTTCTTTGTGGCTATTGTATCAACAATTAGAGTATGGGAGATTTAGATGCTTATAGCTCTCTATATAATATTATATACTGCTCTTTATATCAGAATTATTTATGCAGTGCCTAGCAACAGAATCTGAATTGCAGTATTGTCTGAGTTTTCAGAAACCACACACTGTGTATCTACACTGCAGCTATCTGGTGTGACACTACCAGGATCCAACATCATCCCCTTTTCTCCTCATATGTGACATCAGAGGAACATTGTTCTTACTGCTGTGCATTAGGATGCTTGTAGTTGCTCCCTCTGCCATGTAGATGAAATGTGCAGAGTACAGGAGGTGTTGTAAGTAAGCCATTGTAATAGTTCTTGTTGGTGGTCTAAACTTCAGCCTCCCTCCTGCTGTCTGCCTTCTCTATGCATTGTTACGCTATATGCTAGGCTTGTGTGAACGATTGTCCCTTGTGGAATGAGCAGCTCTGAGAGCGATGTGACTGGTGATGTAATCTTTTGGTGGTGCCAGTTGTGCTATTCCAAGTGCTGCTTAGGTGGTTACATTATTCTTAATGTACTATGAAGTAGCAAGTTGAAGTGGATCAAAGTGGATTAAGTTACTTGAGAATCTGTTTTCCCTTTAAAACTGAGTAAGCATCAGGCTCTTGTGGCTGAGGAGAAAGAATTGGATTAAAAGTCATGGGAAAAGATTTGGGTCCTTTTACTTTAATACTTTGTGAAGTGATTAGTTTTATCAAGAAAACATTGAAAATAAGGGGATTTTCCCCCCACTGTGTTCCCTGAGTAGGAAATGAGACCTTCAATTAAATCAGAAGGTGGCAAATACAGAAGGCATCAAATGCATTCTGCTAGGCAGGGAATCTCCTTGCAAATAATTAGTAAGATTCAAAAGAGAACAGATCCTGATATGGGTAATAAGAATGTCTAGAGCTCTCAGCATCATGTAGACGCTTTTGGAAAGGATATTAAAGCTTGTACCCTGGTTAAGAGAGATTAGGATGACAGGCAAGAAGTGTGTTGTATGGGGGGGGGAGTGGGTGTCATAATTTTCTACTTTGCAGTGTTAGACCATCATTTTTGACGCCTTTGTCTCTAAGCACTGTCTAAAATTATGTAATAAGACATATGCATCCTACATACTTTCAGTTTGAATCAGAGCTATGTTTCCTTAGGTTTTGTGACTCTGGTGGCTATGGCTTTCAAATTATTTGGTATTTCTTTTACACTTGTAAGGAATGTCTGAAATTGGTGTTCAAATTTAAAAAATGAGCTTACAGAGATACAGCAATTCTTCAGCCTACTGTTGCCTGTAACCAGCTTACACCTATGTGTTGATCCCCTTTATACCACCAGAACAAATGATTTTCTACTGAAGTGGTATTTTGGTTATTCATTTATATTTTGTTTGGGGGGGGTTGCTTCCCCCCCCACCTTGCGTATGGATTTTTTTAATGGTTGGCCAATTCCCAACAGTATTTCCTCAATCTGACTTTTTTTTTTTAAATGTAGATGTCATTGTGTTAATCTCATTTCCTCGGTGTAGTGTTCAATTGGATGCTTGTGTTAAGTGTGGCACTAGCTAGTCCATTTTGGTGAAAATGAGTGACGCTAATTTACGCTGTTTTAATAATAAGTCTTTAATATTTGCTCAGATTTACTGAAATGGGTTAGTAACCATTTATATAAACAGCTCTGTTGGCAGAGCTGAGGAACAGGCAAGCAGCTGTTTAAAAGGGGAGTGCTTTGCAAGCCTTTTGCTAGCGTGAGCTGTGGCGTGCATAGCCTTCATGAAGTGAGTTCTCTTCACATTTTTAGTTTAAATACACTGAAATTTATTTCGCTGTTAGGTTTTACATCAAAGAAACATCTAGCTTAACCTTCAAGAAAATGTTCCTGATAATAAACTTCATGACAAACTTAAACTTCTTTTAAGACTCTGAAATTCTCCCTGCCAACTGGCACTATGCAAGGCCTTGAGAGCATTTGAAGAAGGTCTTACAAAGGCAGTAAATGAAATTTTCTCTCTACTAGTTTAAATTTTAGTGTCTGGTCTTCCTTCAGAGATCTTTGGTGCTGTAATCTTTTCCACAGCAGTTACTGGAAGTCCGTTTGGGCTTTCCTACAGTATCTAGTATTTTCACTGTCAGGCAAATGGAAGTTTAATTTTTCCTAGATGTATCTATCATCACAACCTTTCTTGTATGCCAGTTCTCTAGAGCAGCAGCAGTAAATTGTGAAATAAATCCTCCATGCTAATGATAGATAATGGAGTTTCAGTAAAAATAAGACTGCATTCACTGAACAGAAGTTAATAACTGAAGTCTTCAGCCTTTTTGACTTCAGTTTGTAACACTGTTAAGTCATTTAACTTAACTTTTTGCTTAGTCCCTTAAAACAGACTTAAACTCTAAGGTAACACCCATCTTTATCATCTTTTTCTGCACTTTCTGTGTGTGTTTGTGTGCTGACTGAAATTTGAATTTCTATCTTACTGTTGTTGTATTGATCAAGTAAATCCTGGAACTGTACACATACTGTAGCTTCTGCATAAACCAAGTAGTACCAGAGACTTTTGCTAAATAAGTAGCATGCAAGTGTGTGTATCTGGAGGGATGCATAAAGAATACTTATTTTTAAAGTCAGAAGCTTGGTTGCAAAGTGTTAGTTTTTGCATTACTAGAATTCTTCTGTTCATATTAACAAAATGACACAAGCTCACTTAAAACTGTCTCAGAAACACATTATCAAAACTTGGAGATGTCTGGAAATTAATTGCGTGATACTCTTCTAACAGAACGAATCTTGCTATAAGACTGCAGTCTACTATTATATGTATTTACAACTTAAAAATATCTGTGATCAGTATAAATTGCTGTTGTCGTATAGTATCATCAGAAAGTGTGCCAAGACAGGTCTCATGGAAGCAACGTTAACATTGCTTGAATACGACAGTGAGGAAAATAATATACCAGGTAGAAAACTTAACATGACAAGATTTCTGAAGAGGTGTCTTCTCCCTTTTCCATGTTATGACCTAGATAATAGGATTTTGAGTTTATATCTATTTTTAATCTGATTCTTAAGTTTATAAGATGGCATCCAGCCTTTAGAATCCTACATGGGTCTGCAAGAATTGAAGTCAAGACAGTGAAATATATAGTGCTGTCCTTTTACAAGAGGTTTTCTGTTGCAGAATGCATGTTAATTCTCATTGTCTGAAGTTCCACAATAGTTTTAATTAATTTAATGGTTTTGCTTTCTTCCTGTTTCCCTCTGTATCGTGTTCTCCCTGCTCCATCCAGTTTTGTTCTTTTCTCCCTTTCCTCGTGCCTGCTCTGCTGCTTATTTAACTCTTCGTTACGCCATAAAACTGACGTATCAAAGAGGCAGAGTTGTGGTTTCTTTGGTGGTTTGTTTTTTTGGTTTTGGTGGTGTGTTTTTGTGTTGAATTGGTTTATCGTGTAATGGCTTGGCTTTACTGTTAGATCTGTCGTAAGTTGGGTGATAGATTAGTAGATTAGGCTTTGTTGTCAACTGGGAGGAGTGGTAGAGGAAGAAGGGAGCCAGACCACTGTTGATGAACTGCTGACATGACTTAATTATACTGCATATGACTGCAGTAACTGGTGTACTAATTGGTACTTGCGCAGTGACTGTACTTGGGGAATTTAGTAATTACCATGTAATTGGGTAGTTGGTTTATGGGTTTTTTTGCTGGTTGGTTTTTTTTTCTTTTTCTTTTGGCTAGGACATCTGGGCTGGTCAGTCCTGGCCAATAATAATTGCTCCACATGAGAGTTGCTGTATTTGCAAAGGAAGGGAACTGGGAGCTGGCTAAGGAAGAGTGCAGACAAGTTAGTTAAGTATAATTTCACAAACCTGGGCTTGTCTATGCCCAACAGAGGTCTTATATGCAGATAGAGACCATCTAGTGTTTCTTGAAGTAGGAGGTGGATCTGATAATCAAGTAAGGGACTGGCATTGATGACACTCACAGGAAATTGCATTTGATGGTAGGAAAGAAAACTGGGGCAGACTTGCTGCATCTCCCACGTGTTACCTTACAAGAAGAGGAGCAACAACTCTTACTGGTGGTGTTAGAAATGCTGAGTTCAAAGATAAAGCCATCAACTCAAAAGAAGAAATTCACTGAGAGGTTTTTGTCTCTATTTAAGATCACTGAAGAAGGATAGGTATTAATGGTTTGGGCATGCAATGTTTGTTTTGAGTTATCAGTGATGAACACAGTTGAGTTGATACATGTCTGCTGGTGAAATGCAAACTATGAAATGTGTTAGCGCTGTTACTGTTGATTTGACAGCAGCAGGAATACTGAAGTTTTCCTTCAACATCAGTGACATTTGAGACTGATGCAACTGTAATAATCTAGTATTTTTTTTCTTGTGTTAATAATACTTTCATAGCTTGCAGGAGTGTAGGTGGCTTGTATAATGTTCTGATAATGCACTGTGGATTGGGTCATGGTGGATTGTTTCTCTGGGAGTGTAGTAAAGCTAAAGTTAACTTTACAATTTGGTTTGCTTTTTGGACTTATTTAAGCCTGTGCCATCCAGGACCTTGCCCTTCGTGCCCAGCCTTTGTGACAAAAACATGTGAATGTGGACAAACAAGGTGAGAATGCTTCTACTATACAAATAAAAGTTTATATAAGAATAGTTGATTGAAAGCTTATGTAATAAAATTTTTCTTTCTTACAGTTTATTAAAAGTTTACAGAACAAAGTTTAATCTGAGCTGTAACACTTATTTATGCACTAAAATAATTTGGAGAATTTTATATTTTAAAAAATCAGATTACTTCTAATCTTTTAAGAAGAAATAAAAATAATAAAAAAGAATTGTCTGTGTTAAAATCAATTTATGGTACATGTAGCTGAATTGTCCAAGCAGTCTGAGTTGACTTGATTTTGAAATCCTATTCTAGTATTTATTTATTTTATTTTGTAGAAGACACAGAGAAGGAAGTAGAAAAAGGTTCACACCTTTTCTGTCTGAATGGAATATAATGCTGAGTTACTCCATTCCAGAAATAATAATTTCAAAAATAACATGTACGATTCTAGGAAGCTGTACCACTAGCAAGAGAGAAGTCTGTAGTATACTCCAGACTTGAAAGCTGTCTTTTCCTTGCATGTTAGATGCATATAGTGTCATTGCCAACAGCAAGACTGTGCTGCCCATACTATCTCTGATCTCTTATATTCAGTTGTTCTGAGTCTTTAGAGTCCCTGTTCTAGCTACCTAGAACTGATTCTGTGTAGATAAAATGTGTGCTTGTGCTCGTTTCCAGAACCAAAACAAACAAAAACCGATTTGAGTGTTGGCATTCTTGCTCTAGAAAAAATGTCTTCAGACTTTTACAATTATTTCTGAAAGTTTGAATGTAATATTAAGTGATCTTTTTCAAAAGAAGGTACAGCTATTTCTGTGGCAGTATTTGTAGTTGAAAGAACTTTGTCGTCAGTAGAAAAATGGGTTGGTTGTAGATTACTGAATTTTATTTTACATAGTAAGATCACATCTTTTTTTTTTTTTCCTAGCTGTTCCTTGCATTTAAAAGTTTAATAGATGCAACCAACTTTGATTTATTACTTTTTCCTGGGTGCCAGCTACTTTCACCAGATTGCTGATTTTTGTAATACTGCATTTAATACTTAAAACTTGCTTTTAAACAGCATTTTTTTATATGTACTATATTAGCATCCAAGATGTATGGTATGGCATCTCTGACTTTAAGTTGTTTTAAAGTTACTATTTCAAATGTACATTTTGCAACCATTGTATGAGGCCAGCCAGAATGGAAAAAGAGGAGAATTTATTGTTTTGTCCCATTTTTTTAACAATTTAATTAAAAAACCCAACTCTTTTCATAGACTACTGACTCACTATTAAGGCCCACATCCCTATCTTCAGTGTGCTCAGTGGACTTAGGATCGTTTAAGTCTTCAGAAAGATGTCTGTCATAGAAATATCTGCTCTTCTGGCATGATGCATAACCATACATTAGGTTCAAGTTATAGTGTCACCTTTTCTTTCAACAAAATGGAAAAAAAAAAAAAATCCGTAGACTCACTACTGTGATAAGTGTCCGACTTCAGAGGGGCTGGAGAGGGGAAGCAGGGGGAAAAACAGGGGGGTTATTTCCTAAAAAGTCATTAAAAGTTATGCTCCATTTCAAAGGCTTTGGCATTTTACTGAAAAAGTATTTTCCTCTCTAATAAACGCTCTGTAGATATTAAGGTAGCTGACAGACTATGTCGTCATTTCTCTACAGTCATTCAGTTCGCTGTGGCCAATCAACAAAAATTCATTGTTCTAATGTATGTGGAAATACTTTAAACTGTGGTAAGCACAGCTGTACTCAAGTGTGCCATGCAGGAAAATGTTCACCTTGCCAATTAACAGCACAGCAAGGTAAGTATTGGAAAGCCTTATGTATATCCACTCTATACTACGAAAACAACAGGGTGAGAAAAAAAAACAGTACCAAGAGGCAAGTGCCTTATTTTTACTTAACAAAACCAAAATCTATTGCTAGAATATTTTAAAAAAGGAAAATGTGTCAGCATCACTATATATTTAAGTAAGAATATAAACATGACTAGAAAGAATCCTGCCAAGGTGATAAGGCTGTTGGAGCATGTGCCCTATTAGGACAGGCTGGTGGTACTGGAATTTGTTAGCTTGAGAAGGCCGAGTAGTGGCTTTTCGATAGCTAACAGGAGGTAATCAAGAAGACAGAGACAGACTGTGCACGGGGGGAGATGAGAGACAATGAGCCTAAGTTGAAATGTTATAACTAGCTATAAGAAAAAACTCTTTTCTTGGAAACTTGGAGGTTTTCAAGACCCAACTGAATGAAACGCTGAGTAATGTGATCTGATCTCATTGATGACTCTGCTTTAAGTAAGGGCTTGGACTAGCTGATCCCCTAAGGGCCCTTCTGACCTGATTTGTCCTATGATCCTACTTAATCTTTTACTATAATTCTGAGGTACATGGAAGAAGAACAGAAAGAGGTATAGGAAAGTACACTTCAACAGGCTACTCACGGTTTCTGTTAAAATTTTCTAAACTTGGTCTTGAATGGAAATTAAATTGTAGCATGTATGTGTGCCAGTATACAAATACATTTTTGTTGAAATTTGATATAGAAAATTGCAATTTAATTTTCTCAACTTTTAAGGTAATAATTAACTTGTTACATATACTGCTTTAATAAGTAAGCTTTTTGTGCAGATAATACTTCCTCTTTATTTTTTATCTATCAAAACAAATAAAACAGAAATTCCAACTTCTGTAGGACTGAGAAACTTCTATTGCTGAAATAAATCTAAAGAGCAGCTTCATTATTCTTCTTAAAACTGACTGTAACAATTTTTCACATTTTACCTTTTTATATTTGCTGTACTGCTGGATGTGTTTTGTCACTGATATTCTTGTGTTGTTTTCTGTGGAATATTGCTTTCTTTCAGTGTGTTACTGTGGAAGCAACTTTAAAGAAGTATTGTGTGGGACAAAGGAAGAATTCTCTGATGGATTTGGGAATTTCTCATGTCAGAATATATGTGGCAAGTAAGGTCACTATAATTTAGGTTTTTGAAAAGAAAAAGGTCATTTTATTCACACTCAGTGATCATGATACTCTTAGATAATTCCCCCCTTTTTTTTTGTTTTTTTTTCCTTTGGTTTTGTTTTTTTTTTCCAGAAAATTAAATTGTGGGAGGCACAACTGTACGCAAGTATGCCATCCTCAGCCTTGCCAGCTCTGTCCACGACTTCCACAAGTAGTGTATCGCTGTCCTTGTGGTCAGACTCCTCTCAGCAAGTTACTGGAACTAGGATGTGTTGAACGTAAAATATGCACAGACCCTATCCCATCATGTGGAAAAACATGTGGCAAACCTCTTTCTTGTGGTAGCTATGGTAATTAGAACTTTCTGTATCAGAGTATTCAAATTATCTCATTGTTTAAAAAAAAAAAAAGTGGTCCTTAACTGTTTCATTTCAAGAAATAAATATTTGATTAGTGATTTTGGGTTTTAACCAAACTGAATGTAAAAGCCACTGCAGAGCCTGCAGTTTGGCTGTTTGTTCATAATGATACCTTAAAATCAGGAATTGTATTTGTCTAGAAAGCACTACCACTAGCTAGCCTTTTAAATTTTGTTTACATGCACTTTTCCTATATTGGTAGAGGAATAGAGCTGTAGGAATTTCCAGAGAGTACTGATGTATTATATTGATACTTATTGATGTCTTTTAAAAGCCCACCTAGATCTTTGACTTTCATGTGGAGACTGGTAGAGATAAATGACTTTGTTCAGATGCCTCCAGTAAATAGTTATTTCCTGCTGCTGTAAGAGGTTCATGAAGTAAAAAGTAGTGTTGGAAAGTTGGAGAAAGTTATGTGCAGAAGCAATTTGACACTTCAATGAGTGCATTAGGTAACTCAAGTGTATTTAACTGTGAGATTGTGTGAAGCTCCAGTTTTACAGACTACATATTTAATCGTGATTTGTTAGACTTTAGAGAGGAGAGAGACTAACGCTGTCAAGATGAGGGCTTCTTATTAATGACTGATCCATTCTGTCAGTCCAAGGACAACAAGTAGAAAGGGAATGAGTAATTTAGCTTTTAGTTGAATTTCAGTTAACCTAGTAAGTGAAATATGAAGGTATGCATAGTAAGTCATTCTTTGGGCTAAAAAGGAAGAAAAAATTACTTAAAATTCCTGGAACTTGGGTAAGATAGTATCACACAATCTTTTTTTTTTTTTTCCCCCTCCCCCCCATACATTAATGTAAAAAATATTTAAAATGTATGCATTTTCAATGTTAATTGTAGACCTGAAACTCTAGTCTATAGATTCAGGATTAAAAATTTATATAGTGACCCAGCAGATTCTCAGCAATTGTTATATAATAATTAGTATATTTTTAAACTATGCTATAGTATATGTTAGTATATTTTTAAACTATGCTGTGATCATAGCTTTGAAATCTTTAGCTACTATCACAGGAGCCTTGATGACTTTTCTGACCTGTTATATATCATCTATAACTGGAGATGGCTTCTGAATATATGTCTATAAGTACATAGAAATGGTTGAGACTTTGCTTGAGGCTGGAACAGTTTTCTCCTGCAAGTTTTCTGAAGGTAGTTATGGGGTAGAAGGCTTCAGATTATCTTTCGTTTTGAGGCCTGAAACAAAGTAGTGAGGTTTGGGTTTTAGTTTATGCAGCTTCTCAGACACCGGAAAGGTGCTTCTTGAAAAAGTATGAGTGAACTACGCTGATAATTTAAATCAGTCATGAAAAATGTGGTGCTCTGAAATGACAACTCAGAATGTAAAGTTGTGATGACTGAAGGTTTAAATGTAGTTGATCAACAATGTTCTTTTCATCCATCACCTTTTATTTTCATGTTGAGGTCTTTAATCTAGGTAAAACTTCTTTGATCATGAGATTTGACTTCACTTTTTTTTTTTTTTTTTTATCAAGTCAGACTTGCATTTTTGGGACAGCTGGTCAAAGCACAAATTTATGCGCTCTGTCAATATTCTCTGGGAGAATTCTTTTGGCTTCCTCCATGCAAGTTTCTGGTTTCTTAGGACAAACCTGTTTCTGTCACTTCACAGCATTATCTGCTGAATTAAGTGGGGAATACAAAACTACAATTTTTTTTTTAATTGGTATTGAACCTCTAAGGAAAAAGTACTGTGTTAAAAGATTTGAGGATTTTTCCAGCTTTTGTTTCACTTTTGTACACAGAAGTGTTACATACATGAAAACTGAGAGCGCTGCTTCTCTGTATCATGTGACTAGGTGTGTTCTAGATAAGTTTTAGTTGTTTCATCTGTTTTAACCTAATGGCTCCCTGTTTGTTTCCTAGGAAGTCCCATGTACTCTCCTCAGAAATAAAGGTACAATGTTACGTTACATATATAATGTGAAATTGGTTTAAAAACAATACACAGCTCATATTAATTTGGGGTTTGATTCACAAAGTTGGCAAATATCTGATCAGTACTGCTTCTTTTATCCATACTTCTATGCCAAGCTGGTAATTTCTTGAGATGCCGCTACTTTTGAGAAGAGGTTTGAAATAAACCTCTTTCATTTCTATTCATCTTTAACATAAGGAAAGACTTCTTCAGCATTTGATCTCGAAGATTCCAGACAAGCTGTCTGTTTCAATTTGAACAGTTTCTTATGTCACCTGCCATA